ATCCCCAAGAACCACAAGTCCCCCAAACTAAACCCCCTGAAAAGACAACAGCCACATCCTCCCCAACACCCCCTTTCGCCACACCACAACCTACGCCCGCCTAGGCCGCCCCGAAGTCGTCCCCGGCGCCACCACCTCAGCAACCCCGTACCCAGCTCCCGCCCGCGCCCGCGCCCGCGCCTCGGGGCCCTCCTCCTCTACCACCACCCCCCGCCCCCGCCGCAAGAAGACCGTCGTTGCCGCCTCCAAGACGCCCCGCGCCACCATCGTGCGCCGCCGACCCTACGACTCGAGCTCCGACTCCGACCTCGACCGCCCGGTGATCCGCAGCTTCTTTAGCGCGTACGCCCCCGTCCCACGCCGCGGCGACGATAACACCCTGCCCCAGCGTCCCATGGTCCGCCGCGCCGCCTACCTCGATATCGCGGCCGTGCACCCCCACCTGTTCGCCGTCGAGCCGCTCCGCGACGACCCCGACCGCGCCTACGATGCCGATCAGTCGGACAATTCGTCGGATCGGGAGGAGTTCAGCGATTGGTCGGATCTGGAGGATACCGGGGATACTGATACTACCGGGGATACTGGTGGTGGTGCTGCTGCTGGCGGTGCTGGCGGTCCTACTAAGCAGGAGAAGAAGTGAGACTTGGATAGGGAGAGTTGGTCCTGCTCCTTGGCTTTGGGAAGCCTGATCTCGCTTACCTTACTCGCTATGTCTGTACTGTATGTACGGGGAACTACCGTCGCATATCTGTTCATGGCTTGGACTCGGCTTGTCGAACTTATCTGGTGCTTCTCTCTTTGACTTCTGCTTGGCTTTTGCCCCGCTTAGGTGGTCATCTGGATGTGATATGGCTTTTCTTTTCGGAACGGGGATCTTGTTCGTTTGGGTCTGGGTCGATTCACCTACAGTACAGTAGTACACTTTCGAGGATCGATCGTCCGGTTGCCAGGGGGTCAGGTAGTCAGGGGGTCAGATCTAGAGGTGATATTTGTTGCGTTTAGCTAGCGGAGTTGTAGTTTTCTTTGGCCCTGGACATAACATGACAAAACTGGTCTGGTGATGAGTACTAGTACATACGGACATCAACATGCTGAATTGAAGATAATACTTGTTCTTCGGGATGATGGCTCGCTTTTTCTCGGGTTTAATGAGCTGTGTGGCTCTACCGTAGCCCCTTTCCTATTCTCTGCAATATCTCCCAAAGACGATAGGTGTCCCTGGTGGGTAGTGTTTCAGCTATCGGTGTGGGGTTGCAGTCTGTGGCCTTTCTTGTGGCTGGACTTGCGGTATACAGGGGGAGGAATGTGGATGTCTGGGTATTTTGTGTTCTCTCCTCTTACACTGCAATCCTCCAAGTCTCTCATCAGAGATCCTGGTCCGGAGCAGCACAGCTTCTAATGACGGTAGTGATCTTTCCTGACAGGACCCCAGCATCTCTGTACCACTTCTGCCAAGGAAAACAGAAGCAGAATACTTCGTCAACCTACGGACGTACGCTAGCTACACGACAGAACACTGCCTAACTCAGCGTCGTCAACACCCTAAGGGTTCATGCACTCCGACTTAAGCCCAAAGCAAATGTATTCCCATTACCTAGAGCCGATTTCCTTTCATAATTGCGCGAACAGAACTCAAATTCCCATCGTACCTGAGAACACCGCGAAAGCAGCGGGATGAGAAAACAGACAACACGAATGACACTGAACGATCGAAGACCTTTCAAGAACGATGTATCTTCCCCTTATATGATCAGTTCTCGCCTTGATATTACAACCATCGTGTCGCTTGGACATACAGTCCATCGACGTGCCTGGCCCCTGAGAAGATCACCCATCGACGAGTGAGGCTCAGTCTGTCTCCCATCACTTATAGAATGTAAGCTGCCGCAGCGACGGCAAGAGCGGCTCCTACCATGTTAGCCTCGGCGTGAGAGCCGGCCCCCGTGGCAAGAGGAGTGCTGGGAGATGCCCGAGATGAGGAAGCCCCGGGGGTACTGGACGATGCTTGGATGATCGATGAGGAGCTGCGGGAGGCGGTGCCAGAGGCTCCAGGCGTGGACTTGGGCCCGGAGGGAGTCACAGCCGAGGAGATGGTGGGAAGAGTCATCGCCCCTGTGTTGGTGGGGTGTGCGCTCGTGTTGGGGGCAGTGGCCGGGGGCTGGGATGTGGTTGTGGTCTCGGCACCAGCAACGGGTGGGAGGGTTATAGGATGGCCAGCCGCAGAGCATTGGCGGACAACCTCGTTCGATACGGCTGTATGGTGGTCAATAGGTTGCCCATGCAACAAGAGATGATAGGCAGGGGAAAGGTTTCCATACCGCTCTGATCGGCAGCATTGCAGTTCTTTTGCACGCATGGAGTCACGACTTGCACCACCTCTGGCTTCGAGCAATGACAGGCGAAGTCGAGGAGGCGCGAGCATCCATCATTTTGGAACGCGCTGATGAAGCAGTTCAGCTGCGACTCGTTAGCCTGGAGCTTCCGCTACTGTCCTGGCCGGTCACGTACAGAACATTGGGGAAGGTTGGGTAGCTGTGCTCTGGCGAGACCGCTAACAAGGAGCAGGATCAATGCACGGTGGTGGTACATCTTGGGCAATTGATATTATCTTGCTGGACAACAGTAGGCCGGGATGAAGGTGGAACTTTGACTGCAGAGCTGAGTCTAAAGGAGTGTGAAAAGGAGAAATCAAACGAGTGATAGCTGCTGAAGATATACAGCGGCGCGGAGACAAATCCCCTTGGGACAGCCGTTAGCTCTTATAAGCTAATGAGCTCACCTCGCACAGAGCCTTGGGAAGACCATCACATGTCCCTTTGAGATTGCTATATATACATACAGTGGTGTTTCTCCAAGGCACACGGGTGGCGTGGGCACGATGGGGAGCCTATGAGAGCACGGCGCAACCCCTTTGAGACATGCGGACATACTTTCCGATGTGATGCAAGAGAGGGTAATTGGAGAGAATAAATGCGTACTAGCAAACGCAATCTTCGAGGTGCGTAACCATTGCACTTCAAGGCTGTGGCCCATTGGTTTAGGCTGCCCTACGTTCCTGTAAACCATCAGCATGGGCAGACATACCACATATGCTTGTCGGCAGTGACGTGTAACTGTCGCATTTTGCGACAGGGTTGTGGTTACTGAATCCATAGCTAAGTTTTGTGGATTTGTGGATTCATATCATGGTGGTAGGACTGCTTTCGAGCTCAAGCATCACGGTAACTTCGAAAATCTCAAAGTACTCTCTCTTATTTGTGTGGACTGGTGCCATCCGCAATGCATATGATGGGCCCATACTATTGAGAAGTCATAGTATATATCGACATCAACCTCAACGGCTCTGCAACCAGGCAAAAGCAGAAGCCGGTGGCGTAGAGACCATTTGAGCCATTGGACTACAAACCCCGGCTCAACTTTGATGGCAGGACGGACGGGTCATTTGAGAGAAAGATGGTGGGTGTGACACGTTCTGCCTGCTGTGTGACAATCTTACGCGGCTGCGAAATTGGCACCGAGCAATTTCCCTGGGTAGGAGCTGGCAAGCCAAGGAATCCGGAAGGCACAAGCCATTTGACTGGAATTTTCGGAAATTGAGACCTACCATGGCACTATGGCGTTGCAAAAGGGGCAGGAGCCGTTCATTCATTCCCGTTACCTTTACGAATGGAAGACACCATAGAAGGAAGATAGTCACAGGACCAGAATCCAGGGAGGTAAATGTAATCAATTTGACGAGCCAGAGTGATGAAATGATGAAAAGGGTATGCGTAGCATGACCGAAACGCCGCTTCCAAAGTCCAAACCGTACTCCAAGTTCTCACTGTATCCAACATATCATGTACAAGAACTGTTTCTTACTCAGGACAACAACTCGTCGATGTAGGCTCTTTGCTTCGCATCATCACTCTCTTTCAAGAGTACGGCAAGAACCTCAATTGGCGGGTTGAGTTTGAGTGTGTTAGCACGCCTCCAGCGTCGGAGTCGGGCGATGCCAATGCAAGGCTACACAGAGTGGTTAGTTGTTGGGTTCAACGGAGAAAGGAACGGCGAAGGGCTCAGGGACGACGCGCAGGGGTAGCCACATACCCCGTATTGACTGGAAAGATCAAAGTGTCGCAAGATTTTCTCATGCGTCGTGAGGTCGTTTTGGTGTACTATTCCAATAGACGTTCCCATCAGCACTGAACTCAATGACTTCACTAGTTTTTCTTGGACTACTTACCCCGAGGCCCTCGCCTTTTAGCCTCTTCTTGCTTCCAATATCTGGTCAAATCCCGTTCCGTAAGCTTGCTTGCCTTCTGGTCCTCCTCTGACACTGGCTGTTTGATCTCTGTCTGTGCTTGTTGCCTAACGGCGAGTTCGGCCACGTGGGGCTGCGAGGATTCTGTGGGAGTGTCTTTCAGCTCCTCTGGCTCGGAGGCACTGTGGACGGGCTCCTTCTCAGGAAGAGAAGTAACAAGCGGTTCGAGATCCTTGGCTTTCTGGGAGCGTGTCGTCGGAGCCGCAGATGGCTTGGTGATTCTAGATTTGGAGCCAAAAGACAGGGTTGACTGGCCGGAGCGGGTGGCGGCGGTGTTGCCTCCTCGACGGCGAGCGGCAGGCATCTTGACAATTGATCTTGAGATTATGGATTACGACGGTAGAAGACGATGCTCGCTTTGTGTGATGTGGTTTTCTGTACGTCAAGGCACTAGAGGCTGGTGATGAGCGTCGACCGTCGGAAGACTTGAAGGGTCTGATCCAAGGTGAGTGTGTGGGGGGACGATGTCATTGTGTTTGTCGCACCTGGCAACCACCGCCATTCGCCGAAAAGGGTTATATTGGCACATCGCCCTCCGCAAGCATTCACATTTCACAAGCTGGACTTGAAGCAACTATAAAGAGCCAACCCTCTCCTGTTCCAATCACTTGAATCAATCTGAGGTAAGACTTGCCGGGCTAAAGGGCTCCATCGAGATATCTAGTGACAGGCAGTTTTCTCCTATGCTGTCGACAACGTACTTGCGATCAAAGCATCAAGGCATCTATCTGCTAGCTCGCTGCTACCACCTGGAAACTCAGGCAATCGAGGTGCATCCAATGAACAACCTTTGAGGACACCTCATTGGATCTAGTACAATTTGAGGATTGAATAACTCTCCAGTATGTCCTAGAAACACTGTATCGAAACCATGCTGATGACCTTTGGCTCCTCTTCTCCAAGGTGATGCGAAAAGTCACGAATATCTCAACTTTCTACGTGATCTTTACAAGCTGTGACCCGCTAGTCGCTGAACGAGATTTAGAACAAACAGTAAATGCTGAAACATGATCTGATTGCTTGTGCCAAACATGGTCGAGAAACACAAACGGGCACGGGGCAATGCTTATGGGTACGCTTGCCCTCTAAAGTCTTCGGCAGATCAACAAAATATACATTTGCGTCATACTGATATGAAGGCTACGCGGTGTCTGCCTTCAAATGTAAGCAGCGCCGTATCAGTTGATCCGAGTTTACCTCCGCATATTGTTCAATCAGAGACAAAGTACACCACTGGCGGCGACCGATAGTCTGCTACAAGCCATCAAGAGGGGAAAGAGATTGGCTGGAGAGTGAGCTTCTGGCACATGTGATCCTCGAGTGGCTACCAATTCAATGCTGCCTATAGCGTACCCGTATTGTAGTGCAGGTCGTGCGTGGGGGGCCGCATGAAGGACTCGAGGACAGGCTTGCTGACTCTTGGTATCCCTGACAAGAACTCCCAGCTCACGACCAGCCATGAAACGGTGAGATATACTTCCAGGGTCACGTGGGATGCAAGGCCCTCGCCAAGTATCAAGTACAGTACAAACTACTTTAGGTTAACTCTATGGCTCCCAGCTGGCATTTAAGTGTGAGCGACGGATTTGTGAATGGGCTGTAGGAACCATGACTGTTCGCAACGAATTCCACCAATCTCGGTTGTTGTAGTCGCCTCAGGCCATGACATTGTGGTGCAATATAGGATTGATTGTTTGTCTCGGAAATTTGTCTCGGAAACAAGAAGAAGGAATCCATTGTCATTCAGCCCATGTAAGCCAGGACGAGGCTGACCCGACGGGGCGGTTGTTGTAGTGTACTGGTTCAGGTACAGCTCCTGCTGGAGTCTCAGCCTCGCGTGAGGAGCGACGCTAATAACAAACATGGAATCCACTACTCGCGTGTCGCTGGAAGATTGACCAATTCATGTGTGTTGGAGTGCTGAAAGTGAATAAGCAAGCAGCAGTCGGGACGTTGATTGCGTGTAGTGTGTGGTGCTTGCTGCCTTGCTGCATGTTGCTGCTCGTATTCCCGCTGCGGATCGATGACGGAAGAAAAGCGCCTCGAGCAAAAAGGTGGAGAGCAGACAAAGTGGTTCCGTGGCTGCCGTTGGAAATTTGGCTAGTCTTGTGTTAGTGTTAGTTAGTTAGTTAGTTAGCCGCCGCTGCGACTGAACCGCACCCTCCAACTGAAACCCCCCCCCCCATCATCAGCATCATCATCCGTCCTCTTCTCCTCTCCCCACATCGGCGCTTGTAAACAACTCTCGCTTCCTTCGCGATTACCCTGCCCACCCCATCACCCCTCCAAGCCGCCTTGCCTCACTCCCGGTTTCACTCTCCTACAACCTTAGATCTGTGCGCCCTTTGTCGGAGCTTAGCAACAATCCTAGTCTGCGGTCTCGAACAGCAAACCCGCCCTTGTCCAGCCTTGTCCGCACTCAGGCCCGAGCTAGTCCTGCATAGCAACGAGAACGGGATACCGCATCTGCGCCCCTCGAGGACCTTTCCGGCGCAGCGCAATCAACCAGGATCGGTTGCCGGATTTGATCTCTATGCAGGGGTCAATTTATTTTGAGACTTCGAGGTCCTATATACACCGCAGCAACCCCCGAGCGCATCCCTCTCAACCGCCGCGTGCCCATGGTGGTGCGGGTGCAGCGCTATGAGCAAGCCCGCCTTCGTGCGAGTGTCGGGCCCGCCAAATGGCAATTTCTTGATCGGATATCCTGGCATCTCTGCCACAATGGTGAGCTGAACCCTGGTTGTTCTTTGTTGCCCAGTACGCAACCTAGTCGCTGACCCTATACCAGCCACGTATCGAAGGTAAAGTCGAGATCAGGCCCAGCACTGGCATTTCGCTCCCCGTCAGTGTATCCCTCGTTACAATATCCCTTCATCGTCGCGAGACCATTCATCCCTCGGCGGATTCCGTGACCAAGAAGCACCTTGCGCCACCCCGGAAGGAGATTACCGATATCGTGGGCAAGGAGATGCTTCTTTTCCGCTGCCCGGCCGGTCGAGAGTCCGAAGAGGTCATCTCCATGGACTTGCCTTTCGTGCTCTTCATTCCTTTTGGGCGGGGCGGAGCAGATGCCTCGAGGCGCGTTCCTCCGGCCAGTCTACAACTTCCCAGTCGCACTGCTGAGACATATTATGAGATTGTGGTGGCGGTTCAACAAGGGCCCTCAGAACAGCGGAAATACTCGTTCCCCGTTCCAATGGCACGGTACGACACCCTATCGACGTTTGGAATGTACAATCGCCCCGAGTCCGCCGAGCGAGTGTCGGATCATTTGGTCACATTGGGGATATCCCTGCCCCGGTGGTCTTACGGGCCTTTGGATCCGGTGAGCGTCTACGTGAAACTCTCACCGAACCCGGATTGGATTAGCAAAGCCAGAAAAGTCACTATAAACAAAATAACGATTGGTATTGATGAGGAAATTATATACAACCATGAGGGCGACGAGCCACAGCGCAAGGTCAAGACCTTGACCAAAAGGACAGAACCGATCGGCGTCAAACTACCCCCTTCTGGCTTTTTGACGAATCTCGGCTTGGTATTCCCAGCCAAGGATATGCGGGACTCTGAGGGGATACTCCCCAGAAGTAGACCGGGGTTTCCTACATACGCAGTGAGCGGGTTTACCACAACCGGGAGCCTCTACAAGATCGAGTACTATTTGACTGTCAAGGTATAGCCATTCCGCACTGGGACGATCGAACTCTGCTAATTTTGAACAGGCCCACCTGGCATCTGCAAGGGATATTACCATCCGACAGCCGATCGTTGTTTGCCCGCTCGACCATGCAGGATGCAAAGAGGAGATGGAGGCTATAGAACAGGCAGCTCGGGACGCCGTTCATGTGAACCCGGACAACCCGATGCTGCCTCTGCCCTCCATTGTACGGCCTAACGACCCAAATGCTCTCCGCCATCTTGGGGTGGCCATAGTTGGAGGCAAACACAAACCTTTGATCGACTGAGCGAACCATAACGCGGGCACCTACCGTACACCGGCCCTGTCACAGCTGATCGAGCATTCAGGCTGTCGACAGCCGTTCCTGCTCCAGTGCCGACCACAAAAGCACCACTGCCACGCCAAGTGGTCAAGGACAGCATCTCACGACTTTTCCTTTTAATTCTTCCTTCTCTTCGTTTCAGCATGCCTGCAACTTCTGCACAGAGCATGGACACGTATTACGAATGCATGGGCGACGGAGTTCTTGTTGCATAAATTTCATGGTCGCAGTGTGGATTCATTCGCAATTGGCCAGGACAAAACAGGGTGTTCGGGTTGACTTTGCTTCGATTTGCCAGGGGTTGGTGGTAGAGAGGATTCCGTCCTTGTTTCTTTCGCGTTCCCTCCCACAGTCTCATATAGTGGTGTAAGCTCAATATAATATGTAAGATGTATCTGAAGAGGCTTGCTAATGTCCTAAGAAACAAGATATGCGATCGCAGTGCAATGCGTTCATGCAAATAAATAGTCGAGGCTCTGTTACTCGAACCATGTCAAATCATGAAGACGCTGGCGCTAATTTCCAGAGAAATAGAATAAATAGCACGGTCTGCCACGTCGATTACTCTCCCAGCGACAAGAAGCCCATCGCGAGATTCAGCATCTCAGGATCCACCGAGGTCGATTTCCGCGATCGCTCGTCCATCTCCCGCAGGCAGTCTTTTAGGATACTGAGGACATTCTGGAACTGGGGAGATGAGGCACCGAACGTGTTGAGTGCATTGTTGAGGTTTACAGAAATCTATGCTTCAATGTCAGACCTTACCAATATTCCAGAGGAAGAAGTGCTGAATCTCACCTGTGCGATAAGTTCATTGTAGTCTATCGACTCTTCCATGGTTGGTTGCCTTTGTCTCCTTTGCGACTCCCCGCGATGTCCGGGTCCGATGAGCTTTGGGCAGCAGGTTTGAGACTGGGATCGGGGATAATTCGCAGCCAGAGTTGTTGAATAGTGCCGATAACCCTTCTAGACAGTCTGTCACGTTGGTGAACGCTAGTCACTTATTCCAGTTGCTACCTGGTGGGAGATGCATGCCTGATATCATCGCAACTCGAGAATCCGCGGGCAGAATTTCTTATCGACAAGGCCCGCATCCCGCATCCCGCATCCCGTATCAGCCCGCCTGCATTTCTCTTTCTTTTTGAGTTCAAACCCCAAGCAGCTCTCAGCTCCCTCCCCTCTACAACAGTCCCGGCGCATATACTTTGCGCAATTGGTGCGTGCAACCATAATGGCCGACACCGATGAAGCGGCGATCCACATGCCGTCGCAGGATGGGTCGGCGCATATCGAAGTCGACTTGTCCGATGAGACGCAGGACTTTCGCATGCTGAGCAACATCTCCTTGTGAGCTTTCCTTCCATCACCTTTTTTTTTCACTTTCCTTGCGGAATGCATATGCCCCTGCAAACAGACTAACAGATACAGCCTTACAGATGGCACCCAAGCGAGCATCCCCAAACGAGGCGAGAAGGACTTCGAACCGAACCCGACGCTCTACCAGGCCGACATCCTCTCCGCCTCCCGCCAGGCAATGCACAACGCCCTCTCCTACCCCCGCATCCACCACCCGAAGAATCAGATGATCGGCGTGTACGCGCCCAATGGACCGGCGCCGCCATCCCAACACACGCCCTCGAATCTCGAATCGATAGCGGAGGGGTCTCCTCAGACTTACGCGGAAGTACCGAGCACGACGACGACGACGACGACGGTAGGCAACGTCCATCCCGACGCCTGCGTGTACGTCGCGAACCCTAAATCCAATCTCTTCAAGACCATCGGCCAGGCGGACCGGTGGAACCGGATCTGGCTCCTTCCGGAGGAGGCGTTGTTTATGCTGGAGAGAGGGAGTTTGAATATCCATTGGCCTCGTTCGGAGGTTGGGTATGACGAGGATGAGGAGGACGAGGGTGATGAGAACAACACCGAGGACTCGGGAATTCCGATGAGCTTGCAGGCTGCCTATGCGGCCTTTGCATCGAGAGGCGGGCTGAACAGCGAGCGGTTCTCGGTGTATACGGGGCTGCGACGGCTGGGCTACACGATCACGCGGGCACCGGGCTGGAACGACGACGGGGAGGATGCGGCTGGGATCGAAGACTCGGGGTCGGAGGAATCAGGGAAGCACGGCGCTGGATTAGCCGGGATCTATTCGAGGTTCATGGAGTGGCTCTGCCCGCCGAGTACCAACACGGCGTTGGGACCCGTTGCGGGAGTCGGATTCCACCGCAGCTATGGTCAGTCTTGCTCGCCCGCGACACGGCATTGTCTCTTCAGTTGCTGACCTATACTCGCACAGACGATATCTACAGCAAACTCTCGATAATCCCCTGGTACGACCCGACGGCTGCTCCCCAAGCGGCCCGATCCCCCGCGCAAGCGCCCTACCGAGTTGTCTTCCACGTGTACAAACCCTCCACCCCCTTCAAGAAGTCCGCGCCGCCGCCGCCGGATTTCCGGATCGCTGTGGTCGAGGCGCGTGCGCACACCTCTGTCCCCACCCTGTCGCAGTTGGGGGCTCTGCTCGAGAGCACGCCCCTGGATCCCCCGACGAGCGAGAAGATGAGCCGGCAGCTGTACATGCGGCTGCGCCACGGATACCGGAACGTGATTCTCGCGGTGGTGGATGAGGGGGTCGTGAGCTATCTACGCATCTCGGAGGCGGCCTTTGGCAAGGAGAAGCTTTACAAGCAGAAGGCGTTGGCGAACAAGACGCAGTACCGGCCGAAACCCAAGCCGAAAGGGCGATGAGCGCGGCCACTGCTAGCGGAGGTGATTCGAAATACTTACGGTTGTTGCGGCTAGGTGGCCACCGGCATATGTCTCCCCTTTTCGGTAGAAAATACTCTGGAGAACGCCCTGCGATCCACAAATGAAAGAATGAGGGCTGAATAGAGGGGATAGGAGATTGAATCTGCCATCATCTTTAGGGCATCCGTCTATGGGTGTAGGAAGAGCGGATGTAGATGCTCAGATGGCTTGGCCGGTGGCTCACGGGGAGGAGAGGGAAATGAGCGGAGGACAAAGTGAGATGTGCATGGCACCGAACATGCCCGTGGAAATGCCTTGGTATATCTATGCTGCCCTCAAAAACGCCACTCTATTGTATCCGTCAACGCAGCAGAAACATAAACCCCGACTCCAAGATAGGTACTGTACAAACAACAATAAAAAGTGTCTGGATCGTCTTCACGTAAATCATCAATCGGAAAGGGAGGGAAATGTTGTAAAATCGAAACCTATTCAATAGTCAGAACAGGCGCAAAAATTGAATTCTCAAGCTGAACTTACCACCCTTCAACGCCACCACAAAACGGCGGCAGCAACAAAAGGAATCAAACATCCAAATAATCCGCCGCCATCAACAACTCCAGACACAGCTCGGGCGGGATCTCCATGTCCGGCACGTTGACCTGGTCCTTGTTCTTCTCATTGTAGCACAGGTACTCGCAGACCTTCTCGAGGACCTCGCCGCTGATGTTCTCGAGGACGCAGCGGCCGGTCAGGGCTTCGGAGAACTTGCCTAGATTGGGGTCTTTGTCAGTTTTCTTGTCCTTGTCCTTCTCCTCCTTTGCCTTCTGCTCCTTGAGCGAGTCGGGTAGCGGGGGCGCGTGCGACCTACTCAGTGGGTCGAACATCATGCGGAGCGTCTTGGAGATGCACGCGGTCGAGCGCGGAAGGATGAACTCGAAGCCGTCGCCGGAGACGAGGGTTACGAACTCTTGGTCTTGTTCGGGGGTCGTCATTGTGGGTGTGTGTGTGTGGTTGGGTGGGTAGTGGTTTGAAGGGTAGATGGGTTGGTTGGTGGTGTCTGTGGTGGAAAGAGTTGTTTTTATATACTCGGAGATGTCGGTTGCATTGCAAAGGTTGAGAGGGATGGGCTTTGTTCGGGTGGTTCTGGAGCGCAAGAGCGCAGGTGAAAGTCTCCGCGGACTGGACTGGGCTGGCGTCAGTGGCCAGTGGGTCCCCGCCCTTGGCCTTTATTTGCTGCGCCGCGGAGGGTTTCCGAGCGGAGTACTTCGACAACCCGCCGGCGGGAATGGAACTCTTTCAATCGCGCGGAGATTGCCGTATACTTCGTGTCTCTGGACGGACTTTCTTTCAATACACACGATTGATTTGCTCCATGGTACTATCTGACCTGCATTGAGCTACATCTAATTCAATTCGAAGTCTATCGTTGGCAAGTCTACACGCGGCCCAGAATCCTAGACCCATGCTAATTATCCTATAGTACCCAACTATACCTCACCCATCAAGCTTCAGCAGCATTCGCAGCCTTGGGCAATTGAAACAACATTCACGGAACTGGGTAGAGAAAGAGAAGAGCCATGTATCCAAAGCACACACTGCGCCTCAGCGCATCATCCCGCCAACTCTTCCGCTCGGCGTCATCACCACAGCCCAGCACTTCCCCTCTCCACCCCATCACCACGCCTCCACAACCCTCCCCACAGCCCCGAACCTACAGCACAACCCTCTACTACCCCCCCTCCAACCGCCTCAAAGGCCGCTCCTGCATGATCACAGGCGGAACCTCCGGAATCGGCTACGCCATCGCCGCCCGCTTCCTCCAAGAAGGCATCGACCAGGTGATCCTCGTCGGCCGATCCCCCGCGCGTCTCGTCAGCGCAGCAACCACGCTCTCCTCCAGCTCCAGCATCGCGGAGCCCCCATCCCAACCGCAAAGCCCATCCTCCCCCGAAACACCACAGCAACACACCCTCCTCCCCTTCTCCCCAACCATCAGCCTCCTCGTCGGCGACATCGCCGACGCAGCGAGCTGGAGCCGCGAGCTCGAGAAAGTCATGGTAAGCTTAGCCCGGCACCCTCAATGCCAGCCCGGCCCAGCCCAGTCCCCCCCAAAACCCCAGCTAAAAGAGATATAGCAAACCACCAACCCCACGCACCTCATAAACGCAGCGGGCCTCTCCATCTCCCGCGTCCTCCCCAAATCCTCCCCGGAGGACATCGCCCGCATCCTCGACACGAACCTGCAAGGCGCGATCCTGACCACGCGGGCGTTCCTGCGCGCCGCCATGCGGAATCATGTGCGCGCGAAACGGTCCCCGTCGCCTGCTGCTTCGGCTTCCACAGTTATCGGGAATGGGGACGGGGATGGTGAGAGTACTGGGGCGGACCAGCCACCCCCCTCGAAATCCATCATCAACATCGCCTCGTTGCTGGCGCGTAAAGGCGGCACGGGGGCGGTGACGTACGCTGCGTCCAAGGCCGGGATCCTGGGGTTGACGCGCTCCGTGGCGGTGGAGGCCGGGACGGCGCTGCGCGAGGTGCGCGTGCGGTCGAATGCCATTGTGCCGGGGTATGTGGAGACGCCGATGATTGAGGGTGAGTTTGGCCTTTTCTTTGGGGTTGGGTTTGGGTTGGGATTTTGGGGGAAAAGGCCGGGGGGGTTCAAGGATTACGGCTGGGGGCTGAAAACAGGCTAGCTAACTCTTCTTCTGTTTCTGCAGATTTCAGCGAGGGGGAAACCACCCGCCTCAAACAGAGTATCCCGCTGGGTCGGTTTGGGCTGCCGCACGAGGTCGCCGATGCGGCGGTGTTTCTGGCGCTGAATGAGTACGCCAATAACTGTGTCTTGAATCTGGATGGGGGGTTGAGTGCTGTTTAATGTCTCCGTGGTGAAGTTGGGAGGTGTGTGTGTGGTGATAGGAAGATGCTTCGTTACTTCTCGGTCGATTGCATAGTCGACTCCATGCGAGGCATCCTGGCTACAAAGATCGGCATCTCATGATTCAATTCATCTGGTGGAATATACTCGTACATGCAGCAAAGGGGAACATAATATGCCAGTTGAGCGCCAATAGTCTAGAATAAGGGAAACACGTAACCCTGCAATGTGATATGGCAACAAAGAGCACCATATGCGAGTCATTGCCCTATCAGGTATCATCAATCATCAATCAGAATGGCACCCCCTGTTGCCTCGTCCAGAACGATGGGATTGGCCCCGTCCCCGTTCGCTTCAGACACGCCGGCAACCCGTTTGGCGCGGTCGTCTCCGTTGCTCAATCCCGCTTCATCCGCGCTACGCTTGAGCTTGGCGGCTGCTGGATCCGACGACGTGCCGTTGACCTGTTCAGAGGCCGCCGGGGTGGGTGTCTTGGGTTTGCGCGGAATCTCGGGGACGGCATCGATGGAAATTGGTCTCTCTGCCTCGGCCCCGTTCTGTTCGGAAGGCTCGGCTGCTAGCACAAAGAGCTGGAGGTTGACGCGCGGCTCATCTTCGTCATCGATGACGGTGATGAAGCTCTCGTTCTTCACGCCCAAATCTAACAATTTCTTCGGCAAGTTGTCCTCCAGATCGGGGTCGTAGATGATGCCCGATTCCGTGGTCAGGGAAAACTCCTCGCCGTATCCCAGCTGCAACCGAAGAACCTGTTCGACTAGATCGTTGACAGTCGCTCGCTCGGGGTCGATCTTGAGCCGGGCATGCGCGGAGGAGCAGACCGGACAATTCGGATTGGGAGGTTGAAGAGAATCAGAGTTGATTGCGCGTGCACCCGAGCGCTCGAGGAAGACCATCTTTGTTTGGTTGTAATCTCCTTTCATCACCTTGAAGGCTTCCAGCACACACAACCCAGCAGTCATGGCGTTTGTTGTGGCGATCGCAGGGATAATGTTTCCGGCCATTTGCTTGGTATCGAACTTGGACTTGGGATCGATCTTGAAGATCGTCGCTCGAAGATTAGCCGCCGCAGTCACGAAGTCCAATGTATCAACGTCGTCTTTATCAAACACAAGGATGGGCTTGACGTCGCTATTCGTGGTCTCTTGCAATGTCTTTAGGCGTTTGCTTAAACGATCCAAGCTGTCCTTGAAGACAACAAAATCTTCGGCTGTAGACCAGACCTTCTGATCATTGCATGATATCGTAATCGCCACGTCGGCCGACTCCTTGGTCAGTTTCTCGAAATCCAGAGATTCCGGAGGGCTGCGGGTTTTCCACATATCTTCCATCCCACGCAGCCGCTCAATATCCTCACTGAAGACCTTGTCGAAGACCTTCTTGGCGAACTCATCAGATCCCATCGATTGGCGGATCTCCTTGAGAGCCTGTGCTTCCTTGCGAAGGTTTTCGATTTCCGCAGCTGGCGACAGGTTAGACGAGTTCAGAGCAAAGTCCGGGCAGAACTCACAGTTTTCGGCATCCTCTGAATGATCAAATTCGCTAGAATCCTCATCACTGGTGCCAAACAACTCACTTGGGAATGTCAGTCGCTGGCTGGCTGGAGAGCATGTCTTGCGATCATGACAGCGGTGACTTACGGGAACAGATAGCTCTTCGCCCAGACGATGCAGTGAATCGGCTGGCTGGGGGTGCTGCGGATGGTACACACAGGAAACGACTTGGGAACCTCTTTCGAAGTGCAGTCGTAGCACTCAGTCAATCCCTACCGGCCATCAGTAGTTTGCGCAAACAGCAGGTAACCACAGTAACCCCACCTTCTTGATAACCTGCACCTGGCCGTTAAACCCAGTAGTTCCACTCTCGATCAAAGGCACGTTCGCCGCCAGACACATGCGATTCACATGACGACGAGCCTCAAGGTTATCCAGCGCATTGAAGACAATGTCGAAAGTGGCAAACCAGTCCACATTGAATTGACTATCTTTGATATTTGCATGGTAGGCTTCGAGCTTCGCGTTCGGTTGGAACTTGTGTGCGACCTCCTTGGCGACCTAGATGCGGCAGCAGTGTTGGTTAGGCATGTGTTACAAGGGAGATCAAGGCGGAATTGGCGACGGCCGGGCCGCGCGGGCAGTTGGCATTCAAGGTGTGAAGTGACGCACCAGTGCTTTGGATTTCTTGATGTGTTCGAAGCGGAAAAGGAACTGACGATTCAGGTTGCTCAGGTCAATGGTGTCGAGATCGATGATGTGGATTTCACCAAAGCCGGAGAGGAGGAGGTTCTTTAGCAGCTCGCAGCCGATGCCACCAGCGCCGACGAGGAGTACACGCGACTAAGCCACCCCGGGTTGTATTAGCAATTGTGGTTGAGAGATAGGAGCTAAATCAAAACAAGGGGTCATAAGTTGAACGAGATACGATATGTAGTACCTCTTTAATTCGTCTGGCGAGGGTGCCCAGCGAGCGCTTGTGGTAAGTGTCGCGCGGCATGGTTGCGGATGCGGTTGCGGTTGCGGCGAACGGAGGAAGCCCGAGACAATTGGTGTTACTCTCAGTATGGAAGGTTGAGGAGCATCGCCCGGTAGATATCCAGTGGGAGTGAGAGAACAAAGAAAGAGAGGGAGGTGAGGCAGAGGTGGGGGGGGGGTTTTGAAAAGGAAAATAATGGAGGGGAATGAAGTGAAGGGAAAGAGTCGAGCCGAAAGCAGGTGAAGATGGAAGGAAGTTGGGAGTGTGTAAAGTGAAGGTGAGGTAATGACGGCAACTCTCCCCGTCCCTCAATCCCTTTCCATCCCACCACTCTTCACTCCACTTCGAGCTTCCCCCTCTCAAAACCCATCGCTTGGATAGCCTTGAAAAGAAGGAGACTAAGAGAAAGATGGAAACACTTATTCAAGCAACCCGTCTCGTGCTTTGCCATCTATGGATTGCAATGAACCGTGCAGGCCGAGCAACCAAAGCCGGCGGTCCGTGACCCGATCGCATTTCCCTGTTTGTCGTACCGACACGAGGCTTGCTTGGTACTTTTGTTTCTTGATTGACTTCTCCAGGGATTGATCGTTTGATAGCATCAAGCCTGTGGGTTAACAGAAA